GATAGGGTTTTTCTCCAGTATGGATCCTGAGATGCTCCAAAAGACCTGCATTCTGGCCAAAGACTTTTCCACACTCTTTGCACTGGTAAGGCTTCTCACCAAGATGGATTTTCTGATGTCTGATGAGGTGTGAACTTCTCGGAAAGACTTTCCCATACTCTTGGCAGGGGTGACCTTTCTCTTTTGAGATTTCCTGATGGTCATCAGCAACAGAATCTTGATACACTACAGAGTTACAGGACCTTTCTCCTGTATGTGCTCTGTCATATTCAATCAGGCCTGAGTTCTGAACAAGTCTCTCCGTAGTTTCCAAGCATTGGCGGTTAGTTTTCTCCTCGGGCATGGCTGGATACTTTTTCAAGCTCAGGTCCTCACACTGGGCCTCGATGAGTTTGGACACTGTATGAGACGATTACACCCTTCCACAGGAGTCTGTCCCTGCAATGAGCTTCCCATTCTCACTCCTTGTCTCTTTACCTGAAACATTTTATATATATATATATATATATATATATACACACACACACACACACACACACACACATACACACACACATGTATATGTATTCACTAATTATTTTTTGGTGTTCAGGGAAAGGAATCTGCAAATAGAAGATACTTAAATAAAACCATGTATATAAACTAAAAAAATAATAATAATGTTGGCTATACAGTAAGAATTTGAGCTAGTTTCTGTCCCATCTAAGAAATGCAGCTCTCTGTTTTTCAAGGTGCTTTGTGAAGGAGATAGGAAGTGGAGAGATTGTGTGGAACAAGGAAATATGTCCAAAGTGGCTTACATCACCTGCCTAAGAGACGCTGTGTTTTCTTGGAGTTTTGCCTGATGCAGGGATTTGCAAAGTCCCAGAGGCTTTATTTTGACATGGGGCATCTGCAAGAACAGTAACCTTGGTCAGTATTGGACACGACAGTGGTCATATGTCCTGCCTATAGCCATTCTCTTTCAGGACTTTGCTATCTGAAAGGGCCCATTATTTGGGATTACAGAGATGACACAGGTCCTCTGCCTGTGTGATCTGAGGCTACTCAGTGGTGTAAAGTTGAAGCCTAGAAGAACTATGTCCTACAGCTATAATCAGTAGTGGAAGAGGCAGATATTTATGAGTAAGTAGTAAGTTAGCAATGATAGCAGTGAGGTCCAATGGAAACCGAGAAGACTGGTTCTGGGTGAAGGCCGTTTTCATGAACACCGCACTTACAGCCATTGGCTTCAGATGTACTTACTGCATTCATTAAAAGAAAATATTTTTCGTCCTCGCCTGAATGAGGCATACTGTTAGATTCCCATGGTATATAAGGTTGGCAGGGTTTCTCCATTCAGGTTTCACTTGTGCAATTTTAACAGGTGAATGGAGAGTTATTCTGGGCAGGGAAAAATCAGCCTGAGGCTTCTCATCCTGCCCAGCTTTCCAAACTGTTTGAGAATGTGAGCCTGTTTATGAAGTTGCACTGTCAGAGGCGTAAGCTGTTTTGAATGGATTGAGCTACTGAAACCCATCCCAAGAGTTCTTAAGAGAAAAGCAGCCTACAAATGAGTTTTCATTATTTTAGATGGGTAATGTCATACCGATGAAAGGAAGCCATCTTGCTGCTGTGTTGGTTTGGTTTTTCTTAGCAAGCTAGGTATCTGATGACTAGTCTGTATTAAATGCCATGTTGTTGCTGTTTTTAATTTTTTTTCTTCTATTTTACTTTGAAGCGTTCAAAATTCTAAAAACCAAAAACCTTCACTATGTTGAGACCATACAACTGTGAATGATTAAGGGTGTGAATTTTTATAAAGTGTCAACACCAGAGAGCTCTATACAATATGGAATGGCAACAGTAGTTCAAAGTGAGAATAGGTAATCGATACCTGCAAGCTTGGAGAAAGGGTTCCATTCCCTCCACTAATGACATGGGGGGGGGGGGCTTTGCAAAGCAAGGGTGTCTGGAGCATGAAACACTCCAAAGGAGAATTAATTTAAAATCTGAAGTGGAAGATCAGTTTCAATTAAAACTACCCTTAAATATATATTGGATGGAAGTGCAACAGCAAGCACGCAGCCAGCCTGAACCCTAAGATCTGAACGAACGAATCCCACCAGTCTGAGTGCTAATTATTTTTTTATAATCTCTTACATTATATTTCACCCATCTAATGTGGATGGTAAACACCCCACTGACCTTAGTGTTTTTATCATCATAATAATTGTTAGTGTGACAGTGGTGGTATAGTAGGATAATTGTCAAGTGTCAGGTTCACAGTGATGGCGTGCCTTCATCATTTCCTGGGTGTTGTGTGTATTTAGCCTTATTTCCCTTTGCTTCATGGCATTGGCTTTTACTTTACTCCAATTAGAAGTTTTTATAAGGCATTTTATTTGTAGATGCCCATATACAACACCCCATGTTTTGGACTTACCAGCCCATTTGTAGTGACCAGAATCCATATTTTGGTTCCCATTCTGTGTACCAGCAGTTGGCTCACTCAGTCTTCAAATGTATTTTTATGGCATTTGACAAACCATGGAGACAGTGGAAAGAGGCTAAGTGGAGTCATTTGTCAGCCCACCCTACCCCAAACCCCTCTGACTTGTAGAGGATGAAAATAAAGTTTGGCCACAATGTTTGTAGAAATGCACCACTTCTCTTTGCAGCTCATGTTGGCCTTGGGGAGCTCAAACAAGAGGTGCAGTGTTGTGTGTGAAGAGCCCTTGGCATTGCCTTACCTCGCTGCATTCTTACCGGAAAGGAAATGGCGATGTTGACTTTTTCTAGAGAGTATTAAACACTTGCAAATGACTCACAAGTGCCCCTCGCTTATTACACCTTTTCCAATGTGGGAATGAGTTCTTTCTGATCGTCCATTTTTTCTCTTACTGTTAGGGATGGGCATTTGGGAGAATGGCCCAGCATTATTGCTGAGCTGAAGTATTTTCCAGAGAATAAGAATATGAATCATTTTAAGGACCTATTCCAATTGCTCTTGCTGCTACAATATATCCACTTTCTTGACAGAGAAGATGTCTGTGGTTGTTTCCACCCCCCCTTTTTTTTTTCTGATGTCATTGTTTGTGTCTGCTTTGAGCTGCATTAGACATAAGGGACTATGGAATGATTGCCTAGTGGTAGAGTTGACTCAGACTGGGGCTGTTGTTGACTAGCAGGGAGACTTATGGTCTTTCCACACCTTCCTTCATATAGGGTGGTTGTGTGGGTAGGCACAAAAATGCATAATTCATTTTTCTATTCAACTTTTTCTATGTGATATTTAAACAGTTGAAAGCTAAAAACGAAATGGTATATGTATGTGTGTGCACATGCAAGAGCAAGTGTGCATACATGTGTGTATTATGTCTGTATGTGTGCATTTTTGTGTGTGCATGTGAGTGTATGTGTATCTGTGTGTGTGCATGTATATGTACATGTGTATATGAGTGTATGGGTGGTATGTGTATGCACATGCAGGTGTGTGTACATATGTTTTATGTGTATTATGTTTGTATTCATGCCTTGTGTGTGTTGTGTGTGCATGTGTGTATGTGTGCTTACATAAATGTGTTGTATGTGTGCATGTGTGTGCATGTGAGTATATGTGTATGTTTGTGTGTGTGCCTGTGTGTATATATCTTTACTGTATCGAGCTGCCTGTGGCTTATCTTCTGAATTCTTTAGACTGGCTATTGGCCTGATGCTTAAAGTGCTCTCGCTTAATCTTCTCGGCAAACGTTGTATCTTTTCTGCTTTGTTACATCAGCAAGTTTAAAAATGAGGCATGGAAATAGAAAGCTCTGAGAGCCTGTTCTTCACTTAACAGCCGTCATTCCTAGTCTTTATTTCCAAACTGGGCAGGGCAGCAAATACAGTGTGTTTCCTTGCCTTGCACCTCGTTGGTACTCAGCTGAGGTCTACTATGTGGTTGTTCCCTCCCTTTATTAATGCCAACATTTTCATAGAAGTTTTTATTTCTGAGAGTGCTAAATCTCAGCAGTGACTTCATCCTTCCTTTGCTTGTGAGGCTTGGGAAGTAGATGCATGCAAAAGCTGTGGACAGACTGAGAACCTTCCATAGTCAGAGAAAGGAAATCCTGCTGGGCCTCTTCCATCACTGAGAATGATTCTCATCTGGTTTTGAGTTGCATTTAGTCTTGAATTTGTTTCTTTCTTCTCCTGTTTACACGCTATTGTGAGCTAAGAGGAAAGTCATACTTGGGATATTATTCACAGAATCAAAACATGCTAAACTAATTAAGCCGCTTTCCTATGAATGAGCACTCTGCTTATTTTTAGGAAGTCTATTTAAAGTTTTTAAAAAATGTGAACATCCCTTATGACCCCTCTGCACAGCTTCCTGAATCTGGCTAATGATGAAGCTAGCAAGAATTTGGAAATCAAAGAACCAAACCATGGAGATGTGTGAAAATGATACTTTGGAAGATGTAGCATTCTTTTCAGCTTTGTGTGTGTGTGTGTGTGTGTGTGTGTGTGTGTGTGTGAGAGAGAGAGAGAGAGAGAGAGAGAGGGAGAGAGAGAGAGAGAGAGAGAATATGTGAGTGAGTGAGTGTGTGTCTGTATGTGTGTCTTGAGCATGTATGCAGGGCATGGGTCAGCATCAGGTGTATTCTAGTGTGTGTGTGTGAGTGAAAGTATGCATGTGTGTATGTGAGAGACTCTGTGTGTGTGTGTGTGTGTGACAAGCATGTATGCAGGACAGGGGTTAGCAGGTATATTCTAGTGTTTTCTGTCTTAGCTTTAGAGAGATTTTTTTTTTCACTGAACCTTGAGCTCACTCTTTTAGCTAGACTGGCTAGACAATGAGTATACCTGTCTTCTAATGCCACCATGCCTGGTTTTACACAGATGCTAAAAATCGGAACTCAGGTCCTCATGCTTGCTGACAAGCTAACCCACCTGTCATCCCCTTAGCTTCATGTCTTGTTTGTTTAACCGCAAACTTTTGGGTCTTGAGGACTGAAGTGTTGCTTTTTGTTCAACAGGTGCCTATGGTCCTGAGCACTGGGTCACATCTAGTGTCAGCTGCGGGGGCAGCCATCAGTCCCCTATAGACATTTTAGACCATCATGCTCGTGTTGGCGAAGAATACCAGGAGCTTCAACTTGATGGATTTGACAATGAGTCCTCTAACAAAACCTGGATGAAAAATACAGGGAAAACAGGTAGAGTGGGTTATTTATCTCTTTATCTTTGTTTACCAGCAACAAAAACAACTTTATTCTAGCATGCTTCTTAAATAGCATCCACTGCTGTAAGGAACCTAAACAGTCTTTGGTTTGACTGCCAACCAGTGTGTGACTTCAGGCAAATACCTAACCATTCTGTGCCGCAGTTTTTACAAATTTATAAAATATGTGTCATAGAACAATACCAGGTGCATAGGGTTGCAGTAGTCCAGTGAATTAGTGTGTTAGGTTCATAGCATGGACCTGAAGAATATACTCATGTCTAACCATCTGATGTTGTAGACACTAACTACTGCTAGTTTCATTTAAATTTAAGTTTCAATTACAAAAATCAAAGCTGAGCATGGTGACATGCACCTTTAACCTCAGCACTCGGGAAGCAGAGACAGGCTAATCTGTGAGTTTGAGGTCAACAGAGTGAGTTCCAGGATAGTGAGTGATACACAGTGAGACCCTGTCTCAGAAAAACAAACAACAAAACAATGTTCCATGACATGGAACTGAGCCCTCTGGACACATCTCAGAAGGTCAGTAGCCACATAGAGTCAGTGGCTACCATACTGAGTGCCACAGGGACAGAGAATGGAAGTATCTCCTATCATCTTTGACAACATGAAGGGCCTCAGCATTTTCTATATCAGTCCTACGGCTTGAACCCGCTCCCTTCTTCCTAACAGCACTTGTTGTCTAGGGGTTAGAATGCAGAGCCATCTTTTCAGCAATAGAAGTATCCAACTAAGGGTTTCTGGAGTGTTCACAGATGTCACAGAGATTGTGTGCTGTACCATCCTCTCTGATCTCCCTGGAAGCTCTGAGGTCTGTATTGTGTCACTGCACACTATAGCCAAGGATTAAGTTCCTCTCTAAAGAGATTTCTATCATCATCATTATATTTATATATTTAAGTATATGTGCATATATATTTTATAACTTGAGTCAAATAAAATAAATACCCTTACTCCCTCCTTTTTTCTCCTCTATTTCAATGAATTCTTTGGAACTACTCAGGTCACTCTTAGTAATATACAGGACCCTGATGTCCTGAGGCTCTGTATTGGCCTAAAATGAAATTATTATCTGCCTTGGCCGCATGTGTATCAGTGGACCTCAGTCTTGCGTTTTCTTTAAACTTCCTTGTTTATATTGGCAGCGTTAGCGACCATTTTCTTTCTACAGACCAGCATCTGTCTGAATCTGCTCTCGGCTTGGACCTGCCTGACTTAGTCAGACTGTTTGTCTCAAACTCCTTACAGTGATTCTTGGCCTCGTTCTCATACGGCCCTGTGTACAGACCACCTTCTGCTCCTCAGTAGTTACTTTGCTGTTACTGTGACTATAAACAAGCCAGCTTACAGAATGAAGAGCTTATCTGGGCTTATGGTTCCAGAAGGATTCCATCATGACAGCAGGCAGGCATGGTGCAGGCGCTGAGAGTTCACATCCTCCCTTGTCTGCAAGCATGAAGCAAAGGGTGAAGTAGAAGTTCCGTGAATCTGTGAATTCTCACATCCTGCCCTCAGTGTTGTACCTCTTCCAGTGATGCTACACTGCCTCCCCAAACAGTGCCACCAACTAGTGTTCAAATGCCTAAGCCTATGGGGAACAGCTCTTATTCAGATTGCTACAGGGGGCATAGAACAGGCAACTGTCTCCTGTACCTTGATTTTACTCATTTGTTTTCAAGATAAACTGGTGATGCACTAATGTTACTTATGGTATCAGTGCAGTGGTTTGGGGGGTGGGGGGAGTAAGGGAGCGGGAAAGAGAGAGGGAGAGAGAGAGAGAGAGAGAGAGAGAGAGAGATATGTTGGTGAGGGCTATGTGCCACAGCATGGATGTAGAACTTTCCTCTGAGTTTTTACCAGCTGAACCATGTCACATGCCCAGGCAGCATTGTTTCCAGATGACTTTTTATCTCCTCTCTTCACCTTCAACACACATCATAGGCTTACCATTATGGTCCACTCTTAGGCCGTGGTCAAGTTTCGTATATCAAATGTAGGTGCCCTTTGGGAAACTGTGAAGCCATCTGAATATAGTGAGTAAGAGCTTTGTCATGCTTGGTGTAACCAGAGATTGGAGTAAGTGCCACTTCAGTGCCTCCTTCTCGAAGCCAGCCAGAGGCAGCACACCAGGCTCCCTGCCACAGTTTTCTGCTTGACTTGCAATGGTTGACAGCCTTCTGCAGAGATAACACGTTTCAGTGACAGCTTTCAGCTTGGTATCACCAGTGAAAGGTTTTAGATGTGTGCAGGGTTCATTCGGTGTAAGTTGATTCATGACCTTGGCCTTCCCGAAGCTGATTATCAATCGCTGTCACTCTGCTGACTTCCTGGAGTGATGTGCTACCTGTTGCTTCAGAGTGTGCTCCTGATTTTGGAGCACAGCCAGTAGCATGTGGCTACATCTGTCTGCCCTGCAGAAGTAAAGCGTTAGAGAAGCAGGTCTCAACCCCATGCACTACTTAGATTCTCTGTATGACTCTGACATTCACTGGAGACTATATATTTGGTGGCCTGTGAATTCACTAATATGATTGGAAGGGTTTCGGTGTCAAAGTGACAGCTACTGTCTGTCATGTGACAGCACATATGGTCATTTTCTTTAGCTCTTAGAACTTTCAGCATACAGTGTTATAGAAACTTTGGCACAGAAACCAACTTGTAGTCTTTTAACATGGTAAACTTAGGTTCTTTGAAATTCGTTGATGTTGAAATTAATTCCACAGACTTACTAGTATGTGGGAGAAATACACACCCAGTGAGGGATCTGTTTGGATCATCTCAATTTATATAATTCATAGGAATTCAGTACATGTCAGACCAGAGGCCTCCATACCTTGTTAACATGAGATACTAACTTCCAGTGAACCACACTGAGACATAACCCGAAGCATTCAAGTTATTTGGGGATGTTTTTTGAGCACATGGTATGAGTTTTGGGGCATTATTATAGGAGAGTGTAGGGAAAGGAGACATACTATCTTTACCTCTTTCTTAAAACCAGATGTGCATCTATAATTATCCGAAAAATTTATAAGCCATGCGGTCTATCCTTGCTGTAGCCATATCTGTCTTTCATACTTAGATAATGAAAACAGTCGTAACTTTCTTGAATCATGAACTTTCCCCGTTTATTATTCTTTTTGTGATGTAAGGGATATAGTCCATGTCTTTGTGCATTTCTGGACAGCTTTCTCCCACTGAGTTATATCCCTAGCCTATAAATCATTATTTTTAAGCATATTTTATCTTCTCCAGAAGTATTTTTACAAATCTTGTATTTCCAGAAAGTAAATCTAAGAAGTGTTCCCCTTCCATAGACTTTGAGGTCACTTATCTGTAAAATAGACTGTCTCTGGATATTGAAATATGAATACAGGAAGTTAATATTTAAAGCTGCCTGCTACATAGAGACAGTAGCTTCCTATAAAACAGTCTTAGTCTTGGATCTGGCTTTGCTCCTGTGGCCACCGTATATATGTCTTATGCAGTGTAGTCATAGGGCAACTGGGCAGCTCGTCGCTCACTTCAGACAAGTCGTCTAACATCCTTTGTAAGACAGATGGTGCCTCTGCTTCTTCCCCAGGAGCAATGGCGGTCTGAGTTACAGTTCTGCCACGCCATCCAAAGTAATTCCCTTTCTGTGTCTTCCTTGGGATGAAAAGACATTGCTCCTATCAGCGCTGCTTCAGTGCAGTCCTGCTGTTCCAGCATTAATGTCTAGCACAGTGATTGGTTTTAAAGCTTCCATGAGATTTCTGAAATATACTAAGAAGTCTTGTCCTCCTGTGACTTTTAACAATGGGAAGACTTTTGTATTGTTTCCTACCACTCTTTTTTTTCAGTACTGCACTGGGGACACATAGCAAACGTGTTTGCCATAGAGGGTGCTTCTTCCATTTCCCCCACTGTATTTGATTTACTGGGTTTGCCGGCCTGTGTTCCTTCCTGCAACTGAAAATTCCATTACACTATTGCTGTTATCTTCAAGAAATGGCTGTGAGGGGCTAGAGAACTGGCTCAACAGTTGAAAGCACCAGCTGCTCTTGGAGAGGGCTCAAGTTTGCTTCCCAGAACCCTGGTGGCAGCTCAAACCCTTCTGTACTCCAGGAAATCCCACACCCTTTTCTGGCTCCTGCAGGGACCAACAGAGTGCTCATGCATTCTTGCAGGCAAACACTCATACACATAAAATAACAAATCTTTTGTAAACATTGTTTTATGAGAGTGAAGATACTGATGGCAGTGAACACATTAGTAGACTCGTCGTTCACATCAACTAATGACACGGGGGAGAAGCCATTCAACCCACTTGGGTTTTCCTGGCCTTGGTCCTTTAATTGTAGAGCCACATTGTAAGAATTTTAGACTTCAGAGAGTACGAATGGCTCACTGGATTCTTATCCATAGCTCTCCCTGCATGACTGCATGATGCCCTAGGAAAATGTACAGGAGGTTATAGCTCCCCGCAAGGCCCCCGGAGCTTCCTGTCAAATTACTTTCTGACACTGAGATACACTCTCTATTCAGTGCAGATTACACCTTAGACATTGGTTCTACATAATCCTGAGGAGGCATTGTGCTTGCCACGGTTTGAGGGAGAGTCCAGAGCAAGGCTCTGGGGGAGCTGCTGGTGTGGACCTGGGCCTTAAATTCCAGGTTGTCAAATGCATTGAGTGTGAAGCCCTTGTACATCCACTTCTTCCCTTAATGAGTTTTGATTGCTTCACAATCCATGTTAGCATTTGATCCATATGAGAGGAACGTTCTAGGAGGCTCACTCCCATGTGTGTTCCTTCCAGCGCAATCTGTCCCGTTGTCTCTGTGAATTCAGGCTGTGTTACTACACATGACTCAGAGAGTAGCTTACACATTTCCCACAGCTGTGGAGATTGGAAGTCAAACTTCTGGTGTCTGCAGAGTCCATTCCCAGCTGGGACTTTGATTTTTGGTTCCTAGAAGGTCTCTTCTCACTGTACCCTCCCATGTGGACAGGGTCAGGGCTCCCTCCCCTGCTCACTTCTGAGGGCACTCACTCTATGCACAAGAACTCCAATATTATGATCTCAACACCTTCCAAAGGCCTCAGCAGCTAATAAAGAACTCCAGGGACTGGGATTTCAGTGGCCAAGTTTTCTGTCCTCACAGACCTTCCATTTTACATCATTGTCTTCGAGTATTGACTGTTCACCCCATCATGGCTGTTACTTATATTGGTTTATGTTTTCCTTTCAGTCTTGTCATACTCTTTAGTTCTCTTCTTTAAGTTTGCTAAATTTATTTTTATAGAATATGGTGCTTTTTCAAAGAAAATGCGGTATTTAATTCATAAATGGAAAACCCAGGGGTTCGACACAGACTTACTGTTAAAATTAAGTCTATAATCCATGAAAATAAATCAAAGATTCCTATGTTATTAAGTTCTAGTTTAATACTTCCCTTTGAAACAAAGAGTGGAATGGATATGTAGCAAGGATTTTCTTTTCAAAGAAAAAGAAAACGTTGAAATAATTTGTAAAATAAAGTGTCTTTTTTTTTCAATCTGTGCTAGAGCGAACTGAAAATGACCATTTAGCCCCCCAAGTTTACCATCCAGGACCCCTGGACACTTGACTTTACATTTAAATTCTACTAGTCCTTTAGTGACTTGAGGTGCCAGGGTTGCTTCCCTAGAAGGGACTTCCCCCCTCTCAGAGGTGAAAGGAAGGAGGTTGGGGGGAGGGGCCATGTAAGGAGGGACTGGGAGGAGGGGGGCGGGAGTGTTGTCAGGTTGTAAAGTGAATGAATGAATGAATGAATGAATGAAACAAACAATTTTTAAATTCTGTCATGTGTGTGTTTTGCTCATAATTAAACCCATGCACTGGAACATGCTAGCAAGTGCTCTACCACTGAATCACATGTAGCCTGAATTGAGCGCTGTGTGACCATGTAGAGTCACATTTGTGTGGCTGCAGCTTCCCCTCACCTGCTCACCAGCTGTGATCCCTGAAATGGTTGACAGCAGGCACCATTGACCGTGTACGTGCCAGGTTCCTAGAACTGCATATGGTGCTTTGGAAAGTGATACCGGTTAGCCTCAAGGGGTTGACACTGTGGCCATACCCTTGTGAACAGCAAAGGAAACTGAGGCACTTATAAAAGTTGCTTCAAGATAGCTGGTGAAGCTTTCTCTTCCCTGTTTCATAAAATGTAAACAAAATATAAGCTATTTTTGGAAGGGTATATGTACATGGGCATGCTGTGTGTCTGGTGAGAAATTCCATAAAATGAAAACTGAGATTAATGTTTCAGATTATACAGTTCCCTAATTATACCTTTAATTATTCATATAAAACAAGTAAAATGACCCCTGACAGAGACATAAATGATTTAGGTAGAATCAAATATTCATGAGGTGATGCTGAGTCCCTGGGTGTGTCCTAAAAGATACACTCAAAAATCTTTGCTTCCATGCTTCTGAAGCAAAATTATATCTGTAGAAATCATAGTTGGCTGAGAATAATCCACAGCACTTACAACACTGCCGGGGGTGGGCCTGTGTGTTTCAGCACTGACCTGAAAGGCACATGGAAGTGTTGTATAGCACTTTAGGAGGTATTTTATAATAGCTTTATACCCATCAATTTGAGCACATAGTTTTATATGTGCTCAACTTTGTCATAATTTTGATAATATTTTTCCATGTAGTGGCAGGCCATCTGCCCGTTTTAATATTTTTAAATGGCTAAAACATAAAAGTCAGCTGGAGAAGTGTCTCACTGGGTAAAGTGTTTGCCTCACAAGGATGGGGAGCTGTCTTTGGATTCCCAGTACCTGTATAAAGGCCAAGTGAGGTAGTGCTTTCTTTTAATCTCAGTTCTAGGAGACTGAAGCAAGAGGACTCCAGGCTCACTGGGCTGCTAGCCTAGCCAATCATTGAGCACCAGGTTCAGTGAAAGGATCTGTCGCTCAAAACATGCTAAAGAACTATTGAGGAAGACACCTGGCATGGACCTCTGACTTCTATACTGATGCTCACAGTATACACACATGCTCACATGAACACACACACACGCACACACATGCATGCACACACACACACACAGTCAGAAGGAGAATAATACTTTATGATGCATAAAAATTCTATTAAGTTCAAGTTTCAATGTGATTAAATAACGTTTTCATACGATGTAGCCTTATTTGTTCATTTACATATGGTCGCTCTCTGCTTCTGTCCTACCAAGTCTCCACCAGAAGCTCAATGCTCTGCAAATCCTAAAATATTTACTAATGGCCATTAAAGGGAAAGTGTGCCGACCTCTATTCGAAAGCATGCCCCAAACAGAGCAGCGCTGGAACAGTGCCATAGCTTGTTTAATTGGCACAAGAAGCGCTTGCTTTTACTTCATTTTATTCTTTAATGCACTGTCCCAGTAATTGAACATTTGCTGTGTATTTTTCAAAAGTTGGTGAACAAGTGCCTTTTGAATGCAATAAAGGGGGATTGATGTGATCAGGGCTCCTTCTCTCACTGCTAATGCTTCCTTTCCATAGCAAAGCACTGAGACTAATTGCCCTGTTTCAGAAATGGGTCATTAGCCTAGTCTCTATCTTTTATGCGGACCTAATTCTCATGCAGGATTCCTCTGCAAGGCTCTGACTGGGATCTCTTTAGGATGAGGAGACAATGAGAACCCGAGTGCCTTCCCTTCGCCAACACAGGCTTCCGTTTGGTCCTAAGCCAATCAGTGTATCAGTTGGCAACTTCCATGTATTTAGCGGCCAATAAGAATTTGTTAGATGGATGAATGAATCAACTTTAGAGGGAACAAAAAAGGAGAGCGAGCCTGGAGCAGTTTAAAAGAGAAACTGTTTTGTATATAATCACATTCCCCTCACACAAACCAAAGTTTTATGGAAATAAATGATTCTTGAATTCCTGATCCTGGGGTTTGAGGAAGAGAGCTACATTTTTAGTATTTGGGGTTTGGATTGGTCAAGGCCTTTATGTTGTGAATACTCACGTGGGTTGTCATAAACTGAGCATAATTTTCTTATGCGTGGAGTTAAAGAAAGCAGGAGAGAAAATGGAATTATGGTCCAATATTTTTGGAATTACTATTGATCAGGTTGTACACTGCACTGCTGGGCCTGGTGAGCCATGAAGAAGATGGCCATTCGCAGCTCTGGCTGTCTACCCAACACTGTCACCTTAATAGAGGACAAGCCTCCAACTCATTTTTGGTGCTCACTTGCCAGTTTTTATTGTCGTTGTCATTGTTGTTTGTTTTGGTCAGAGAAACATGCCTGTCATGTGTGGCTTATTGTATGTTTCTCATCCAGCTTAGTCCTTGAATCCTAGGTCAGCCTCAAGACACTTCAGGAATACCTTTCTTTCTGGAAGCATCTCCATTTTCTCCTATATATTAAATGGGATTTCTTAGTCTCCCTAGGAATTGTGATCATTTAGAACTATTGTGGAAACTCTTGGCCACAATAGGGAGATGTAACCAAATTTCTGTCCCTCTCCTTCAAGGACACAGTCACAAATCAAAATAAAGCCCACCAGAGTCCAAATTGGGCAGTTGATAAGTTTATTAGGCTTATTTACAAAGCATGAGGGATGGGTTACATGCAGGAATGTGGATGACCCCCATGTCTAAATGATTACTTCCCCACAGCTGTACACGGCTGTAATTCCCACTTCAGTTAATCTTGAATTCTCTGTGTTCTAGAGCCTCTTGAGATTCAGGGAGCCATGTGTCATTAGGGCTGAATGACATACAGTTAGCTGTCTCAGAAGGGATAGGATGGGATCATGAAGTCCCCACCCTCTTCACCTGTGAGTAAACCCCAGAGGCCTGCAAACCCAGTCTCTGGGGTCTCTTATAAGTGGTCACAGGAGAAAGCTCAGAGGTTAGTGCTATATGATAAGATCCAGTGGTCCTAGAGACCTCTATAGCAGCAGTGCCTTCTTTTTTTTTTTTTTTTTGTTTGTTTGTTTGTTTTTCGAGACAGGGTTTCTCTGTATAGCCCTGGCTGTCCTGGAACTCACTTTGTAGACCAGGCTGGCCTCGAACTCAGAAATCCGCCTGCCTCTGCCTCCCAAGTGCTGGGATTAAAGGCGTGCGCCACCACTGCCCGGCAGCAGTGCCTTCTTTTACTGAAACTGGTGGTTTTGACCTGTCATATAGGAATGTGAGAAAGCGATCTAAACAGTGGTAATCATGAACTTGTCTGAAAGAATCGAAGAACAAAAACAAAACAACAAATCCTAAGTTTGTGTTTGAAACTCACTTTTCTTTCCTTCCCTTCCTTCCCATTTGACAGTTGCCATCCTGCTGAAAGATGAGTATTTTGTGAGTGGTGCTGGACTGCCTGGCAGATTCAAAGCTGAGAAGGTGGAGTTTCACTGGGGCCACAGCAATGGTTCCGCTGGCTCAGAGCATAGCATCAATGGCCGGAGGTTTCCTGTGGAGGTGAGAGAAACTGAGGGTCCCTGGGATTCCTGTTGTTGGAGGCTGTGTCCTTACCTCAGTCATTCTGCAGGCTAAACAGACATTCCCTGTTTTCCCTCAGGAAACCCTGTATGGAGAACACAGCAAAGAGCTTCCCACAAGTCTCTTCTTTGCTTAAGAGAAGAGCTGTAAAGTGTCCATGGACACGCTAACTTTTGCCTGTTCAGTGATACTCATCGTTTGTTCCCTTTGACACAGTCTCTCTTCTCAATCCACTTCTCAAGCCCTCTTTTCTGTGAAGGTGACATTTTATGTGATGCTTAGAAGACTTTGTTGTCACTCTTTAGAAAATGAAAAGGCTGGTGACATGGAAAGGCGTCTCAGAAACTTCTCTGAGGTGTGACCTTCATGTTTGTTTTGGTTTTGGTCCCTGCCAGCAGTTGAGACAGAGGACGTGACCATTGATGGTATGAGCCACTGTCATATTTTCTGAGAACTGATGGTAACACTACATCATTCCTCAAGCATTTTGAGGCCATCTTTTCATAGAGCCAGGGTGGCAACCAGAAGGCCATGGTCGATTGATATGTAGAGTTGACAAAGGAATCCTGTCATTGCCAAGCCTTCATTAGTGTCAACTGGTACATCATATGTATTGTGAGCCTCTTTTGCTTTCTTCATGTGTTTGAGTTTTGTTCTGTTGGGATAACATGTGCCTATTGGCTTGATCTCTATATGCTAAGCCTGACAGGTTTGTGACAGATCCTACTAGAAATGTTGGTAGCCTTTGGTTGTATAAAACAGGGAGTCCCTGCGGTATGCTGGACTGTTGTAATCATAGGAACCAGATGGCCCAGTATTATTTTCAGCAACAGACTTTTCTCAATTTGTGTCCTGATTTTTTTTTTTTTTTTGATAGCCTGATAAATATTTGGAACCCTCTTCATAATGAGGCGCCTGATCCTTCATCACATATTTCAGATTTACATATGACTTCTAGAGTGTTAGGTGTATTACCTAGTTCCTTCAGCCTCTGACCCTTGTGTGAGAACTTGTGTAAGTTGGGAAAGGCACTGATATCTCTGTTGTGGAGATGTGTTTGAGGATCAGTGGGACAGTGCTTTCCACCTCAATCTTTCTGCCTGTTCTCCCACAGCACAGACCACTTCACATCCAAGAGTGTGTGAAGCTCTTACCCCAGTGGAGTGCTAAAAGTTCCACCAGCTCCTCTTGATGTCTACCCCTTCCCACACTGTCTCTGTGTGGCGATTGTGTAGATCCCAGAGAAGGCCGTACTCCTACTAGACAACCTCTACTTCAGTCACAAGTTTCTGCCTGTGAGACTTCGGACATCCCTGTATGTTATTAATTTTCTAGTATAACTCATTTCCCCAGTTTGTTGCAAAGGATATTTGAAGGGTTCTAGACAGTGCGGTTAGAGAAAAAGAAACATGATTAGGTCTGGGGTGATTCTGGGTACAAGAGCTTCTGAGCTCCCCAAGAACGAGTTCTTGTTTATTTAAGTGTGGTCTAGGGAAGCATGTAAAAAAATGTCTGAGCTAGTGCTGGTAGCTGGGGCAGAGCAACTTTGCAAGACCTGTTTCTTCAAATTCTTTTTGGTTGGGCTGGCTGAACCACTTTTTTCCTGTATAGAGAGCAGTCCCTCGTGATGATGGTAGAGCTAGTTACACTATCAGACAAGGTAACACAAAGAGTTTCTTTATAGGCAAGCCCAAGACACACTGTTGGGGCAGGTTAGTGTTTCTGGACTGGCCTTGTGGAAGGTTTCTTTTCTCTAGAGAAGGATTCTCTAGTTTCTTGAAGGATCAGATGCCAAAAATTGTGGATGAAAACACGCATGCATGAATGCATGTCTGCACACAGTTATACACATGGTCCCAGGTTTCATAATATCACCTCCACTGACACAGATCTCTCTCTCTCATCCTGCTCCTAGAGACACCAGAAGCCACTCTGAAAAGACGATTCATGTTTTCTGTTATTTGTTTAATTTGTAGCACTCAAATCTCCCCTGAACACCCTTGTCTTGGGACTTCCTCTCCTGGTCACACTAATTATATGATTCTGAGGAGGGTTTCAACTTAATGGGCCCTCCTGCCCTGTGAATGGAATGAGTCACATCTTAGAAGTCTTAGCTTTATTTATACATGGAAAACTTGCTTTCTAGAATCAAAGTTCCTTGGTGTTTGTAATTGTGGGCTTTCCCTTCTGATCTCGCCCCACCTCCACTTTCCATGGGCAGTGTGGGTTGAAGGGGTGGATTGTATTCTACCAGCTTTTCTCTGAAACCGCCTTGTTTTCTTTTGTTCAGAATAAAAGAACTGTGCTCATACTCTGACTTGGAAAAAACTGTATCTGCAGCCTTGCACCTCATTTGCAATCACACCCTCTACCACCTCGAGGGCCGTTCAAGGGCCGTTCATCATGTGCACACTGTGTACAGCCGAGAACTATGTTTTCTTTGAAGACTTTGGGTTTTGAAAGCTATTTGATTTCCCCATTGCTTGGAGAGTGCCATCAATTGCTGACACTAATAAGCTGTGGTACTTCTGATGCCCAGACTTACTGTCTGGTCAGTTTGCTTGGGTTCTTTGCTTTTGAATGGAATTGGAGAGTAAACCTGCCTGTGTGAAGCGGCTTCCTCATGCCCAGCTGGTTCATAGCTTGCTTTCATAAACTGTGATAACATGTTGATGTTCTTAGTGGTATATTTGGAGGTACTTAAGTTGCAGGGATTAAAGGCAATTGGATCCAATTTAACTGTAAAATATGCACATGAAAGTTGCTCACTTCTGTCTCAAATGTGTCTGTAAAACTTTGCAATAGCTTGTGTTACTAAAGTTCCTTATTTACACTCGCTCTTTCCTGATAATCCTGTTGGAGCATCTCAGAGTCAGCTTATTTCTTTTCATATGGTATGAAAAATGAGGACATGACTGCTCCTGATTAAGAGTTCAGGAGAAGGTTTATTGTCGACATGAGGGAGGAAACAGCCAGAGGCATCTGGAAGGGTTCTGGTTGAACATGGCCAGCAAACTGAATTGGGCCATAAGGGGACGGGACAGAGATCGAGAGAGGAAGTCAAAGAGAGAAAGAGGAGAGGAGAGGGAACCAGGAGACGAGGCATTTTGTTTGAGACCTAACATACATGTACATTATATAACAGGAAAAGTTTCAGTTTATTGTGCAAAAATTGATCAGCATCCCCGGTATCATTTTTTTTATGTACCATGTATAAAAGTAACTCCATGTTATTGGAATTGTTAAGGTCAGAGCCAGGGCCCTGACAGTCCTAACAAGGTAGGCTGGGCCATTCATCCTCAAAAGGACTATTAAACATATTTTACCCAGTGTAGCCCCATTGGGAAGGAGAGCAAAGAGGCCTGATCAAGTCCATTGTCAGGGTTCTGACAGGTTTATGCTCAAGTGGAGGGAAGAAGACCTCCTAGCTAAGCTGTCCTGGTTCATGTATGCTGCCACCCATCACCACTGTCTTGGCTTCAGTCTCCCTTGTTAGGTGACTATAGAAATGCCGGTCCACAGTAGAGCTGTAGAGCAATAGAGATATAGAAATGGCTCAGTTGATATAGTATGTGCAGCCTGGGTTTGTCCCCTAGTACTCTTGGGAAAAAGCCAGCTATGGTGGCTTGTAAATTCCTGCCTTGAGCAGCCCGCTTAGCCTAATTGGTAGGTTCCAAGCCAATGAGAGCCTTTGTATCAAAAGACACTGTGGTTAGTTTCTAAGAAGTGACACCTTTGGTTGTCTGGCCTCCAGAAGTGAAGATACATATCTTACTTGCAGAGAAATCTCTTGCTGGGAAATAAGCTTTCTCTCTGGCTGGCACCATGTCCCAGCCTTTTCCTTCTTCCACCCAGCATGTTGTTCCTGAGTAAATGCCAGCATGAGGAGGGCATTGTTTTAATAGTCTGATAATGAAAGGGAGGGGCGAAGTGTCTGTGTAGAGTGCCTTCGTTCCTGCCATTGAAGTTAGAAAGAGGCATTGTTGAGGATTTCACTGAGATTCGTGGAGTGGGACCAAGAGAGCATCCCTCATCCCTGCGACCCCTCAGAGAACACTGATCATCTTTTATGATGGTTTGGCCAGCCATGATCACTGTTGGCAGTGGTTGGCTACTGGTTTCTAGTTGAGGGCAGGGTACTGATGTGCCAGTGTATGTAATAGCCCTCTGTACAAGAAGCTATCCAGCCCGCAGATGTCACTAGTGTCACATGTGTGAGCTACCAGAGCAAAGAAAGCATGCATTTAGTGGGATTAAGCTCCTTCATCTCGGTGGCACCAAGTAAATACTGAATACTGGGAAGTTTGTTCCCTGTGCAGTGACTGTAGCCTCTTGTGTTGGTTACAAAAGTGTGCACCTTGTGTCTTGACTTGTAGCACAACCCTCTTATTTCAGCAACTGTGGCAGGCTTCTGCCCTGCAGGCTGAATTTTAAACAAGTGTCTCATCAGAACCTGGTCCCGCTCCCTGAGGGTAAACTGCAACAAAGCCAACCTTGTAGATTTTGTTCCTTCCTAGAATTTCTTTGAAAATACCTATGACCTTTTAGGCATCCACGCTTTAGACCTGTCTCCATTTCCCTGGCTGATATCCTAGCTATGGCCCCATAGTAGATTGGATCCAGTCTATTTGTTGACTGTAAAGTCATTATACAGTCCAAGCAAAGTCAGTACTCTTCAAAGCCAGCTATTTTCTCTTTCTTTTTTCTCCTTCCCCTCCCCTCCCTTCCTTCCCCTCCTCTCCTCTCTTTTCCTCTCCTTTTTTCCCAGCACAAATCAAACTCAGAAAAGTAAATGGGAGTGACTACAGTGTCCTGTCCTAGAACAGACCTGTCCTCAGGTACCACTGCTGCCCTGCGTCAGCTTCCCTGCTTGCTAACTGAAGGTTTCTTTGGGTTTTGTGCCTTACAGATGTTAATGACACACAAGTAGATCAGGAAGCCACTTCCTGCCTCCAGCTGTTTGTGTTCTGGAGGTGACA